AGAAGTGGTTATCTATGGGGGAAGAAGGAGGAAGGAGGACACAGCAGGGAAGATGCTTCATCAGCTATTAAGATAGTTAGGCTGTCATTAACATCTAAACATTAAGAAAGCACACTGCTGTTTCAATTAGTCTTTTTATATGTATGATAAATATGTATGTAAGTACATATACACACAAAAACACACATGCAGACATACAGAATATGTAAAACACATAGAAAATACAATTTACACAAAACAAATTAGCTACAATATAAGGTAGATTTTATTCCTCTTTTCCCCTTGGATGTCAGCCTGCCATTCTGCTATTAGAGGGCTTATAATAAGTTTACAACTGCTACTAACCTCCACTTAATTAAATGAAAAAATACAATTTTATTATCTGTTAAGGAACATTGGAAATATCCTTTCCTTACACTCTCACTAGTAGTTTTCAGCACTGACCCAAGCCACTCATTTGTAAATCAGATATTCCCAGAAAAGGGATCTTTAGTGATACTAATCCAAAAAAGTTAAATAAAGAACACCTCATCATTTAGCTAGTCCAAACTCAACCATTTTTTTCTCGTAAAAAAGTTAAAAATGTTAAGTCTCTTACATCAACTTGGATCACATAACTCCATTCTAAGGTCTCTGAAACATTACTGAGGCTCTACAATGAACTAAAACTTAAAAGAACACAACCTGGATTTGGCTTTAGCATCCATGAACATTTTTCCAATTAAAAAAAAATGACACTGAGAATTTATAAAATTTCTTTTGACAAAGCATAGGCAACATAATAAAACAGCAAGTCATAATCCTCAAAACAGCAATTTTCCATAATAATGGCTACTCTACAAATGCCACTATTATGGAAAACTACTAGGATATCACATTTTTGGAACACTCGTCCTGCTTTATGCATAAAAACCACCAAATTAATGGCTGGCACAGACTATGACAGTCTAAACTTTCCCTACCAATGCTCCACTTCCCGGTGAGAATAAAGAGATTTGAGATACTTGTATTTGTTCATAACATGGCCTAATTTTAAGCTGTTATCACCTATACTCAGGAACAAGAGACCAAGCACCACTAATATTACCACATTATACAGGAATAACAAAATCATAATTATTATTACAGCTAATACTTATTACATAGTTAACAATATTTTGAGCACTGAGCTAAGTATTTTATGTAATATGAAATTATAACATTTATTAAAAGTTTAACATATATTAACTCTTTGAGTCCTTTTAACACTATCAGACAGGTTCTAGTATTCCATTTTAATGATAAGGAAACAAAGAAACAGAGAGGTTAAGTTATTTGTCCTGGGTCACACGAATTCCCTGATTCTAGGGCCTGAGTTCTTTACCATGTATCTTATTTAATCCTTATAAAAACCCTACTATGTAAATATTATCAATAGTATTATTATAATTATTGAGGTTTAGAGAGAAAGTAACATGCCTAGTCACAGCTAGAAAGTGATAGAGTTGGGACTCCAATCACTGCTATTCTAAGTTAAATTGTGACCAAAGGTATTGCTCTACTATTTTGCATCCATGTTGGTACAGACTGTTCAGGGTCCCAAAGTTACATCTTCTATCTTTTTGTTAATATAGATTTCAGCAAAGATTTATGCCTAACTGATCTGTGATCAAACTATTCAGATAAAATTAACAATATGAACTAAAGGAAAATACAAAAATGACTGCTATTCAAGCTCATCATTACCAAGGTCAATTGCATCTAACTGTACAGTTTTTTTATGCCACATCTGACCAACCTTTCGTCAAAATATTTAAACTGCTAAAATTCCATACAAAAAAGAGCATTCCCATTTTAGGGGTTTTCAAGTTACAGTTACAAATATCACCAATAGATTTATAACTTTTCTTAAATTTTAACCTGGTACAGTTTTGGCTTCAATTTATCAAAAGTGAATAGCAATTTTATTCAAGTCCTTAAGGAATATGCACTATTAAACAGCATTTGATTATTAACCACAAGAATATCTACTGTATTTCTCAAATTAAATACCACAATCTAAAAATTGAAAATGTCTATACCAAATAAAGTCCATGCCTAAAGTTTGCCATCTTTAAATTTCTGTATCCTGAATTTTTTTTTAAATCATGCACCTCTGCTTGTAACAACTTGGAAAAAGTCTAATATATAGGATAACTACTTAAGGGCAAATAGGAAATCATGTACAAACAAAACTATCATTATATAATGCTTCAATAAGCATCTATGCTAAAAAGAGATATATACATTATCAAAGATAAATGTCCAAAAGAAGTTGATCCTTATATTCAAATATTTAAGTTATCCCAAATATAAGAAATCTTACCTCTTTAATATTCAGGGGTCTTCCACTAAGATCATATTTATTCATGGTTTCCAGTGCTTTCTTTACAAATTCTTCATCTTTGAATTCAACCACACTTAATGGGGGAAAAATTCACAGGAGAAGTTTATGTACTAATTTTTTTTTTCAATAGGAAGTCTAAATTTGACTTAAGATACTTAAAAAAAATTCTTACCCACAACCCTATATCCAGATAGATTTGTCAATATATGCAAAAGAAAAAAAAGTTTTAAATCAATAGATGGAAGTTGATGTTAGGTTCTAACACTTAAGTCATTCAAAGAAATCAGTATATAATCATTTTTTGTCTTTTATACCTTCAAAACATAACAGGCAAGTAACCTCAAATTTTCTATTGAATTTTTGTATCTATTTAATATGTAAGACAGTTGAATCTAGTACTTAACAAGCTTGGAGCACATTTTTACTTCTAGCAGTCTCTAAGTTTAATGTCATTGCACATATTCAATTAAATGTAACAAGGAAATAATTGAAGGCTCTAAAACACCTATCTTTACACTGTTAAAAATATTTTTGAAGAACATACTGTGCAATAGTTTTTAATGTATATTTTTCACTTTTATTAAAATTAAAATAGGAAATATTAATCTTAGTCTTAACAAAGTTCTCCATTAGAGAAAACTGGCTGCATACAATTTAACAGCATCCAGTTGTAAGTTTTTTTAAAAAAAACTTAAAGAAAAAAATTTTTTAATTATTTTTTAAGTAATTCTCTGTCATTATTACTGTTTGAAGTGACATTCGAATATCATGTTTTAATTTTTCACACACCAAACTGGCTTTTGCTAATATAATTCAGCACTGTTATAAAAGTTTTCCATTGTATTCTTCAGTATATTGCTTTCTTGTCACTAACAATCAAAATTTACTATTGACCAATTCCTTCTGTGTCAATTTAATCATTGATGTCATTCATACCAATTAGTCAGAGCACTGCCTCTTATGTAGTCCTGCAGGTTACCAAATTAAGCTCTTCAGTATAAGTTTCGAACATACATTCTGAATTAGCACCTTTAAGATATAAAGAACTCTCTCATAGAACTCTAAGGGAATATTATCCAATGACTTTTAAAATATCCCTGAAGACATCAAAACACAACAAAAAAAATCTCTTTATTAAAATCTATTGGCTAAGAAGAAGCATTACCTTAGAGCATTAGAAAAGTAAATGCCCTTTTTGAGCATTTACAAAACCCATCCCTTGCAGGCAGCTAGTTTGGTTTGTTTAAGTGTCAGACTTGCTAGTATAAAGCCTCAAATCTTGCATAATAAAGTAAAACAAAATGAAACTTAAGTTTCCAAAAACTGGTACAAATATTATACAAAAAGTAAACTGCTGAGGAACTTTTAAACCTCAAGCAGATTATTGCCCACAGCACTTACCCTTGATTTTCCTTCCGCATCCTTAAAGAGCTCCACGTATGTAACCTCACCAACTACATAGACATACAAAAGGAAAATACCAAGAAACAATACATTTAAACACCAATATCTTGCTTTACTGCACACCTGTGCACAACTCTACAGAAAACACCTATTATTCACCAATAATCAAAACCAGACCAACATACCTCCTATCTATAGCTATGTAAATATAATTTTCAGAAATGTACATCATCCACATTCTCTAGAAAAAGCTAACAACTGTATTAACCTAATTCATACTACAGATCATATTTTGACCAGCATGATATAGTTGGTGAACAAATGCACATATAATACAAATGGTCCCTTAGCCTATCTTATTAAAAACTTCAACATTAGCACTTTTCAAGTAACTTTGGTCGCCTACACACAACAGCTGTTTTAAGGTGACTTTCTACCTGAATGTCTTCAATCATGTTTGCCATCAGTAAACCCAATTTACAAGTCATGCTTCACAGAAAGCCACACACTTTCTAAAAAAAAGGTCAATGAATAAAACCAATCAAATAGTTGTCACCTTACAACAGATACACCAATGCAATTTTTTTTTTATTAGAAGAGATCAGCCTCAAAGCCAAATACATAGTTTGCAGGACTGTTAAAACCCAATTTTTCATGAGATAACAAAACTAACTTTTACAAGATCAAGTATTAAAATTATTTTTCCCCAAAACCAACCATGTATATAAAATGAGGGTTTTCAGGTTATTCTGAAAACAAAACTGCAACAAGTTGTAACTCAATTTTAATAGCGAACTGCAGAGACAGCATTATGGCGTTCATGACAATGCAAACAAAATGAATTCCACAGCCAGATTCCAGACTCCACCAAGATAATAACAAAACAGCTTTTGGAAAAAAATTAATCAAACCTTATTATTCATACTTTAACACGCTGAATGTATTGCTTAACTAATGCAATAGTCCTTTAAAACTCTGTAAAAACTTCAACTAGACAAAGCAATCACTTTAACAAAATTCTTGGTGGCATGCATATGCTGGCTCACTACTATCCCACTAAAATGGCAAAGAAAAAAAAAAAACCTTCATTTAGCCATACTACCTTGTAATGAAATTGTGTCAAGTGTAAGAAGAGGAAAAGATTAATTCATGTGTTAAGAAGTAAACAAAAATCTGTATATAGAGTCTGTGTGGCTCAGAGGAATAAAAGAGCTTGCTTAGTTCCCTCCCCCCTTACATGAAGATTATCCAACAGTGGGTTTATCAGAGATGGTTACCTTTTTCTCTCATTAGATCTTTAATAGCTTGCCATTTCATGTCATATGGGATGTTGCTAATGAAAACCCTGTTTCGATTTGGACCTTTCTTTTCTCCAGTGCCTGAATTCTTGTCTTTTGAATAAGGATGAAATCTATTGGCCTTCTTACTTCCTGCAGATTTTTCTTTTAATTCAGATTTCTCTTCTTTGACTGATTCATCATTCTCTCTATGAGGTAAAAACAACAACAAAAAGAAAACCTCAGTTGTGCTTCTAATAATGTAAGTGCATATAAAATATATATTTATTATTTATCACTTCACAGAACTCTCCTCTAAGTTAGACCTCAGCAAAGAAGGCTAGAGAGTCATCCTGATGGCTTTGAAATTACCCAACAACATTTCACTGGGTACATTATCAAGCTTATTTAACAATCATCCCTTTTTTCTATGTTAAATAGATGCAGCATCCAATTACCCAGTTTTCCCCATCATCATACTGCTTAATAAATGTTATTTAGAAGCTACCAAAAGGGGAAAATGGGTGATTTTTATTCCTATAGTATGTAAAACAGCCATCTTTAATAGAGAATTAACTTCTGGGCCTCATTCAGAACTCTAAAACCTAACTTGCAAAAGGATACCCTAATAAAGTTCATCTCTCAAACGTTAATTACTTCTTCCCATAACTTTTCTTCTCCACTAGTTAAAACCATAATTAAAACATAGTTATTTTTACATACCTATATATGTATACATCCCATATGACTCATAAATTTTTTTCTATTACCAGTTTTGATCAACATAGAAAACTGATAAGGTGTCCTAACAGTTTCATGCTCAACCTTTTCTGTGTTTTAACGTATAAATTAGGATAGGCACTCCATAAAAATCAAGCCCTTTTTATTAGTAGTATTGCCTATAATGGGGGGATGGAGTGAAGGAACGAGAAGTACTTAAATGTAACATGAATCAGAATTTTATAAACCTACTTCTTAATGAGGCCCTAACTATAAAAATATTAAATTTATACAACTATTATCACAATCCAACTAAATGATGCTATCTACCAACCATCCATAACATGTAAGTATACACTTAAAGTAAATCCTATAGATAAAAATCTGGTTGTATATTTTAAAAGTGCTACTTACTTTTCAAAAGGAACCCATAATAGATTTCTTTTAAATCACTACTTATTCTAGTGAATTTAAAACTATTTCATTAAAACTTTAATTTTAAAGCAACTTTTCATAAACATATGCTAATAAAAATCTCTGGCAATAACACTCAGGAATGTAAACCTTTTTAAGCTTCCTGGATTATTCTGACAACTAACTAGGTTTCATAATCCAGGCTCTAAATTACCTTCTAAACCAAGCAATTGTGAGAACCTATACACTGCAGTGCTCTACACACCTCTTACTGTAGTTACTTGTTCCACAATGTCCTGAACTTTGTAGACATTACTTTTCCGAGCAAGTTAACAACACAGACATAAATATAATATGTTAAACTCTACGAGAACAGAAACCATCTGTGTCAGTATCAGCAGCATCTAGCATGGTGACTGCACATAGCATGCGCTCAATAAATATTAATTTTTGGATGAAAAGTCAATTAAGAACCCATACTCATCTGAGCACAGACGGTAGTGCTGTCTGCCATTACAACTGCTAAAATCAAGGAGGAGACAGTAGAATCAAACTTGCTTTGTCACCTTTTCAGACATTGGCAGGAACACCTTGACTGTCAAATATCTTCCCTTACCAGATACGAATTGACCATAGAAAGGGACTTCTCAACTGTGCAACTTAATCAAGTACCTACCAGTCTCAACAGAGTGGCACTTTTGAAAATGGCAGCAAGCAGCCAAAAGGCACAGAGGCCTTTTCTCTGATTTCTGGGTACAGTAGATACAAAAACAAACCCTTCTTTTTCATCCCCCAAAGAACACATTTACATAGTAGCCTGAATTCATTGAATGTTTTTAAATTAACTAAGTCTCTGTTCAGGTGAGTAGACATCTATATAGCCTCTAGCTAAATATCCCTTCCCCTACTTTCTTTCTGGATCAAACCAATTGTGAAAATTGCATCAAGTTCTAAAGCCCCTGCTATGTTTTTATTCTTATATGGATGTTGCAAGCTTTTGCTTAAAACAATCTAATAATTCTATTAAAAAACAGTAATATTATGTAGGATACTCTCTTTAAAATATTAACTCAAAGAATGACCAGAGAGAGAGATTTCTTAAGTTTTTCCCAATCAGTAGTGACATCTTAAAAATACTGCTAAACTGCTCACTGACAATGCACAGATTATCTGTGGAAGGCATATCAGTTTAGTGGCCAGAGGTATGGTCTGAGTATTAAGAAACTGAGCTATACTCAATTTCTGAACTCTTTCTATGCCATAAATATACTATGGAAGACACAGTAAGGATATGTGAAAACTCTTAGTGAAATGATGCAATGTAATACTAAAATAGTTGCACTATATCCAGAATTTCACATAATTCCCAAACCATTCATTTGCACAAACCCCCTAATGTACTTGAAATAAAGACTGTGATGAGTTCAAGTCACAGAAATGTTATTAACTCTGAAGACTGAATTATACTTACCCAAATTATAACAAAAATCAATATGCAATATCAATGGGGAGAGCATAATGCTATATAGTATGAGATCCAAAATTAAAGCCATTTTATGCTTAACTCCTAATATGATAAAAAAACGCTACTCCACTTCAAAGACTTCACCTTGCTCCAATGCTTAATATTTTATTAAATACCCTAACATAATTCTCAATCTCCATATACTCCAACATGTTGTTTATCAGACACAAATGATGAAGAGTTATAATTATAATAATACTGCTATTTTTCCTTCTACTCACTTAAGAGAACTAGTATACCATTTTGACATTAAAAAAAAAAAGACTAAGACCTAGAGAAACATCTTTAATTTTTTGTCAAAAGCTGTGAACATGCCCACTAAACCTTCTGTATATGAGTTTCATGATCATGAAAGCTCACTTCTGCATTTCTTAAATATTTACTGGGCCTTGTGGATACAAAGGTGAATAAGACTTAATGGTCTCCACCCTCACGCTAAGTCATTCAATCTTGATGACAAGTGGCACTCTAAGCAATAAATATTTTAATGTAATATTCCATAATTTGTATTATCTCTATGAATTCTTATCACTAAAAACATACAGTGATCAACTCAAGAATTATGTATTGGATTGTTAACTACTCCAGTTGGTTCACAGGGTCCAAAAAAAGTCAGGTTTATACAGGTAAATGTCCATAGTTATTTAATGTGAGTGACCCATACTGGACCATTGTATATTGCTATGGAATAGACAGTACAAGAACTCTGAGAGTAAATTGGCCTCTTTACTCAACTTCTGGGAAAACAGGAAGGAAAAGAGATGAATTATAAGCAATATGAAAAGACTCTACATTTGTATTTACTTGTAACATTTCTTAATTTCTTCACCTTATATTCTCTTCTTCCTCAATTAGAAGTGAAAGGGATTCTTTTCCTACCTCTGTCCTCTCCTGTCTAAACCACAGTGAGACTTTAAAAGGGATTAAGAGACTTTTAGATTCTATAGAGATTTAGATACCAGCTTTATCTCACTGCCACTATTATATCAATCGTGTGCAAGTTTAGCAGGGCTTCTCTTTCAAGGATGTCTTTTGCTTAGGAGAAAGGGGTGGCAGGTCCATGTTTAGAAATAAACAAAAAGCACGTATCTTAAGTTTATCACTCTATTAGTTTTCATTTGTATGTATGATGCCAAATCCCTGAAAGCCCTTGTTTTAGCAGGCATTGTAGAGAGAGCTTCACTTCCTGGTTCCTCAGTTACTGAGGAACAAACTCTACTGAGGTTGAATCTCCTATAACCGCACCTCTAGTTTGCCTAGATGCCACCTATCCTATTTAGACCCAACGGAGAGCAAGAATATTATAACTGAGCTGGGATAGCTAACTTATTTCATGTGCAATCAACCCTACACAGAACTGCTCCAGGTCTTACTCTACTGTTTCAAACATTTTTATACAAGAGGACATTTCCCTTTCCTATTTTAATGTGAGCATATGTGCACTACTTCCTACTCTGAGGCATAATTGAGAAAAGGAAAAGGATGTTTTCGCTAAATTATTAACATACATTTAACTTCTTTTAAATAAATGGGCATACGCAAATAAGGGCCTGACTTCATTTCCCCCTATATATCAAGAACAAAGGGAAGCATAACATTTCCTTATAACTGGAAATTATTACGGACTCGAGTGGTCTAAATTCTACTTTGCTCAATTAAAAAATGTTATTTTACCATTTTACCAAAATTAAGAACCTACCAACACACACGTTTTCTTTAAATAACCTGCCAGATTGACAAACATTGGGAGTGAGGGGCTCAAGGTACAATGCACATTTCTCTTTTTAAAGTACCTCATCAATTCAAGGGTTAACACAACGGATTCCGTCTAACAGCGCCTTAATAACTTCTTCTTGGTATCTATCAGTCCAGAAATGACTATATACTTTAGAAAACAACAAAACAATGAGCTTATAAAGCTAAGAATGTGGCCGTAAAATGAGGGGATATTCCTTTCAAATACGCTCTCAGTAGTTAAGAGGAAATGTCCGATGATGTCATCCCTAGTTACTCCATAGTGATGAACACTAACTACGGCACTGGCCTTTAAAAGGGGGACCATTTTCTGCAAACCGTGGCGGCCGCCGAGCTTTACTCAGAGGTTCTCCATCCGAATCTGAGAAAAGGGGGCGCCCCGCGGTCTCGGGCGGATCAGGGGCGGGCGCCGATTGCGGCCCGCACGCCAGCCCCTCGGGCCTGGGGCGGGCGGGGTACGGCCTGGGGGCGGCCCGGCGGCACCTGCTCCTCCCGCCGCCCGCGGCTCGGCGACGGCTACCCCCACCGCGGCCCAGGCGGGCTCCGGGCCTCCCCAGGCCGATTCCCCGCCCCACCCCCCCCGCCGCGTCCCGGCCCCCGGGGGAAAAGACAATACATTTTAACGCCATTGGAGCTGCTGCTGTGGTGAGGCGCCTGCTTCTCCGGCTCCGGCGGGTGAGGCTCTCGTCGCGGCTCGCCCGGCGCGTCCGCGGGCTGCTGATGCGGACTGTCGTCACCCGCGGCCCCCAGCACCTCGGGTTTGTCGGCGTCCGCCATCCCACCGCCGCTGCCTCCGCCTCGGCCGCCTGAGGTGAAGGGCTCCGAGCGCGACAATGGCGGAGGCCGAGAAAGCGGTAACGGATCCCGATTTGAAAAGGCCCCGAGCGCTCAGTTGCCCGGATCTCGCGAGAGCCGGTCGGGGCTTAGAGAAGGAGAGGGTGTGAGCGGGTTGTGGGGGTGGGATTGCGGGGGGGAGGGGAGAGGAAGGGAGGGACGCGGCGGCCGCGCAGGGCGGGCTTGGCGGTGGTCTGCTCTGCTCCAGCCCCGCGAGGGCTTGACCTGACCAGAGCGCCTTGTGCGACCATGTTGTGACTACCAGGCCGCCTGTTGCTTGGCACCCAAGGGGTTCTTCGCTTACAAAAGTCAGCCCAGGGTGCCAGAAACCTCTAGAGCTCTAAAATTCAATTCATTCCCTGTAGAGGTAGTTTAAACTAGAGAAGCACACACCACTTTGCATCTTTAAAGACGTCTGCAAATCTTCAGACAACCTTTAGAAAATCCTTTGAATAATACAAATAAATTGCCACTTGAATGGCTAGGCACCCTGTGGGCATTCAATACACAGTTATTGATGACAGGTTGCAATTCATCAAAATGAATGGCTTTGAATTTCTCTGCGTTCAGGTTGTTCTTGAGAATGAGGTTTTCCTTGGAACTCAGCTATGAGCTTACAAAAAGAAGACTGAAGTTTTTTAATTCTCTGGGCCGCAATCAATGAGATTGGTTAATAATGGACATTTTGGTGTTTGTGTTTATTATATGCTGATGGAAATTATATTTGAAGCAGTTATAGGCTCTTAAACAAGTTTGATTACTGTATGGAGTTTTAAAATACAGATTTTTCCCCTAAATATGGAAAAGAAACCCATTAAACTAAATCAACTCCTAACGTGTACTGTAATAATATTTCACACTGAAATAACCTTTTTAAGCTGAAAAGTTAAAGACCTTCCCAAATGTTTCTTTTCATAAAGAAGCAAACATACGTGATTTATATGCCTTGCAGAATGTCACACACATATTACTGGTAAAGTTGTAGTTAGAAACTAATACTCAAGTAATACATGATTTTCTTAATATCCTCCTGTTCTTTGACATTTCAGTATGTAGTGAGACAGGGAAGTGACAGGGGACAGCCCCTTTCCAGTTAAGGTAGGATACAGGCCCATGGAAAAGGATAAAACCTTGCTGAGGCTTCCGGAATGTAAAGGAAAATAGGATGCTTGTGGTTGAAACAATGCATAGAGAAATTCCACCCAAAACCCAGTGATACGGAACAGTTTGCTGACCATAGTCACGTAGACATACGAGTTTAAAATAAAAGTAACCTTTAATGTGATTAGTAAAAACAGAACTAGCTTTCTGGAGTAAACCTATAGACAACAGATAGCTGATCTCCTTCGCTGATGTAACAGGCACAAAACCCCTAAACCTTGCCCCTCCCAGCATGCTCTGGGACTTCTGCACTTCCCTTTCTCTGAATAAAAACCTTTTATCCTGCTTTCCTACCTTAAGCGTTTGCAAAGTTCATTCTTCAACTCTGTGAACAAGAAACCCTGTATCAGTAGGTTTTTCAACACAAAGCCTTCATGAAGCATCCAATCTCATGCCAGAAGAGTTGAACTACTTCATCAAACACACACACACACACACATAGAACTCAGAACAATTTTAATCATGATGAGTATCCTTGGTAAAATACTGCTGTTTCATAAACACAACAAACACTATTGTAGTTGCTGCACAAACCATTTCTCCTCAGTCAATTCCAAGACTTAGTGTTTGAAGTAGAAACACTAAAGAGTAACTTATTTCTCATTAAAACTTAGTGCATGGAGTAGAAACAGAAAGGGCATTGGATTTGAGAAAACTTGGGTTAGAAGCCTAGCTCTGCCACTTTCAGCCTGTAACTCCTTGGAACAGTCACTTAACTTCTGAATCTTTCCTTAATAAATCAAGATAGTAATACCTATCTTGCAGGATTAAGGTAAGGGCAAAAGTGGGACAAAGTGTTATATGAATATAAAATAGTATAACAATTCTGTCTGTCTCCAGGCTGGGCAAGGTTTTAGTCAAAGAGAAATCCAATGATTTTCCCATAGAATTGAATTAGAAGTACTTTCAAAACATTCATCATTCTGTTATTCTTTTGCTACAGTTGAATTTAATGATGAGAACTTAACTCTCCACTCCCTAGTACATTATATTCTTGCCAAATCCTTCAACAGATCCAAATGAATATTTTTAGGAAGACTTGATGCTTAAAACAGAGTATAGTAGGCACAAGAGGAATACAAAAATGAGTATAACTGTTGGGAGAGAATGTTTTATAAAAAGCACTATTTAAGTTCTGTAATAGAGACAGAGACAAATGTGAAGTATAATTAAAAATTTATTTAGAAAAACAAGAAATTGGCCTGCATGCTGTAGTGTGCTAATTAAAATATTCCATTAAAATATTTATCTTAATAACTGAGTTTTTTGGCATCCCTTTAAATATGCCTAAGACAAACACCTCCTTTACTGTACCTTAGTCCTAATCCTGATAAAAAAAAAGAGTAAAAGTTAATTCCTATAGGAGGATTGGTGAGAGCTTCATAGAAGAACTGAATTTTGAAAGATGGAAAGAATTGGGGCAGCTTCTGCAGAGACAATGATTAATCTGTGCTTCTCTATCCAATTGCTCTGTAGATGATCTTTCCTCCCTGTCTTACTATTAATATTGTACTTACTTTAGCTAAATCTGCAAAAAGTAAGAAAAAATAGTTATTAACATCCTATTATTACAATCCATTTCTGTGTTTTCCTTCCTTCCTCTGTTTTTTTTCCCCATAAGCACATACTGAAAAATTCTTGAGAAATGCTTTTTAATCCTCTCACAAGTCCCATTGCAAATGCTATCCTTTGTGATTGTGCAAAATGTATTACTGGTACAACTTCACATAACTACTTCGTTTTCTTTCTTACAAATTAGAATGTGTGACTTTGTGTGCTTATGAGTGTATGTGTTAGAGAGAGAGAGTGAGAGAGGCCATTTACGTATCTGGAAAATTAACCCTAAAATTCTAAAACATTTCAACTAATACTTTAGGAATGGTGTTCACTTGCTAGTAACAGAAACTAGAAATAATATTCTTAAATAAGATAGAAGTTATTACTTTCTTAAGTGAAAGTAGCACAGAGGAAGGCATCCCCAAACAGGTATAGTAGCTGCACTATCATCATAGACTCAGGTTCCTTAACCTTTCATCTTCCTAGTGTGAGGCTTCCATCCTTAAGGTCGCCCTATGGCCCAGGATGGCTGCTGGAGACCTGTCTGCCCTGAAGACCAGAAGCAGTCCAGAAAAGAAGGGTCCTATCCAGAAGTCTCATACAGCACTTCCACTTGTAGGTCAGAATTTAGTTACATGATACACCCAGCTATATGTAGGGGAGGTTGACAAATAATTTTTCAGCTGGGCCCACTGCCCGGGGTTCTGCTAACAAGAAAGAATGGACTAGCAATGAGGATGTAATCATCCTTTTAATTTGTCTTTAAAAATTGAAGGCAAGGACCAATAATATGAAGTCAAACAAAAAGTATAGCATGATGTTTAAGTGCGTTTACTTGGCTTTATATAGTTAATAGCTGGATTTAGAGTCACTAAATTTCCGAACTTCAGAGAATTACAACTTAAAAAGAAATTTAAAACTTAAAAAAATACTATGGGTTGTATTTGAGATTCATACAGAGTTACTTTTTCCATCATAGAATTTTATTCTACATTAAAAAGGTAGATGTTGCTTATTGTCGCTAGAAAGAAAAGTATAGATTTATTCTGACAATCAACTACTCACTGTTTCTTCTCTCTCTCTCTTCTCTCTTTCTTCCTCCTTCCTTCTGTCCTTCTATTGCTCTGCTTAATTTAGGAGTCTATTTTTTATCATGCACTCTAAAAATACATCCTGAAGAAAGGTTTCTACCAGCCAAGTGAAGTTTAGAATTAAGGTAATTATCTAAATAATCCAGGCAGAAATTTCAACTTTCACCTCAATTATTCAAATAATTCACATAATACCAAGTGTTTTTGCTTGAATTCCTTAGATAATTGTTTCATTTTTCAACTTTACAATACTAGGGTCATTGCCCAATAACAGACATAATTTTCATTTTTGTAAGCAATATTAGGACATGTTTTTTCTTTGAAGACTAAAGACTCCTGTAATTCCCAGATATTTACTCGAGTCTCAATTTGTATTCACTTTCTAATTTCTTAATTTAAATCACCCTGCCCTCTCCTCAATTTCACCCCAGTATTTTCATTAAAAGGTAGACTGAAGAGCAAATTTTCAAAATCTCTGCCGGTAGGCATAGATACTCCTTCCTTTATAATAATTCCATGAATTGGGCTTCCTCTGTCCAAAGCCATGGATATGGCATGGTAATATTTATAACTACTCTAAGTTTGGTATCCTAACCAAAAAAGTATTAATAAATATGATTATCTTATAGCAAATATATTTTTTCATTTAAATAATCACAATTTTTAGTAATATTATTCTCAATATTCAATTCCAACATCTGGAAGAGAAAATAGATGTCTTAGAGTGATACATGATAAGATTCACTCCACATGCTGTCCTACATATTTAAAGATAATCCTATAAATGCTGATGATAAAGATAATAACTAACACAATTTATATTCCCCTTCCTATTTGCTAATAGGCATTTATTTAAGTTGACTATCAATATTGCTAACAGTCCACGTTTTCTAGCCTCACTTGCAACTATGCACAGCCAGGTGACTCTGTTATGGCCAGTAATATATAAGCAGAATGTCATGAGGACCGAGTAGGAGGTTACTTAGAAGGAAACAACTGGAAGACTGCCTGTATTCTTGCCTGGCTTGGAATGGAGAAATTATGTGTGTATCAATAGCAACCATGCTGGACCACAAAGTGACCTGTTTGTAAGCTAAGTGCTGTGGATGGTACAATAGTCTCCTCTTCCTCCTCTTAAATTTTACGCCAGTCCCTCTCATTGGTAGAATTGGGCTAGAATACTGCAGACAACAGAATTGGAGAAATGTCTCATACAAGGGAGAGCTTAAAAGAGTGAGGATGATGTTGAATGTCAATAGGTAATATTTGGCACAATGCCTAAGTCATTTGGCATATGTTCTGAGATATCCCAAAACAAAGGAGAGAATTACTACATTCATTTGTTCACTCATGCATTCATTCATTATGTCTGTTATATTTAGGAACTGGAATTCTTGCACCTTTAAATAAGATTAAGTATGTAAAAACACTTGTAACTTGTGTTATTCTCTTGACTTTATTAACAAATATTAATTGTTAGTCCCCCAAGACATCCTTCAGATTACTAAGGAGGAAGTACTGTCATGTCAGGGTAGATGTTCTGACAGTCCCAAAGTCAGTGAGGAAATGTAGGTTGCGTAAGGGTCCATTTACTTCAACCTAGATTCCAGTATTTGGCTCCTAACATTTCCAAAAGTCAGACCTTATTCTTCCAAACTGTTTATTGTTTTACTCATCATCTAAATTCCTGGGACTGTCGTATCAGAATTACTGTGTGTGTTGAATACTATGTAAAAATTAAAATTAATCATTCCTCAAAACATCAGGTTTATACTTTTCTCTTAAAATCTTCATATTTTTAAGTATTGATTATACAATATCCACTAACTTCAATTTATTTTTTACTGGCTTTTAGGTAGTATCAAAATACAAAGCCCTTTTGTAGGCCTTGGCAATTATCTTCTATGGTTGCCTAAAATCTGATTTCAAGTATACAAGTGTTTTTTCTTTAACACTGTATCCATTCCGAAAAAAATAAAAAATAAAAACCTCATGCACTACAAACTATGCACTAAAAATAACTGGCAACTTACAAAAATGAAAAGACAGACTGGGATTAAATATTTGCAAAACACTGATATCTGATAAAGGACATATCCAAGATATACAAAACTCAATGATAGGAAAACAAACCACCTAATTAAAAAGTGGGAAAAGATCTGAACAGACACCTCACCAAAGAAGATACACAGACGGAAAATAAGCATAAAATGTTTAACATTGTATGTCATTAATGAATTGAATATGAAAACAATGAGATTCCACTATATAGCTATTAGAATGACTAAAATCCAAAACACTGAAAACACCAAATAATGATAAGGAATGTAAAGCAACAAGGACTCTCATTCATTGCTGTTGGGAATGCAAAATGGTACAGCCATTTTGGAAGACAGTATGGCCGTTTCTTACAAATCTAAACACAGTCTTACTGTCCAATCCAGCAATCACATTCTTAATTATTTACCCAAATGAGTTGAAAGTTTATGTTCACACAAAAACTGCACACAAATATCTATAGAATATTTATTCATCTTTATTCAAGATGTCCTTCAATACGTGGGTGGCTTAAAATCCATTCAATTAAAAAATAACTGGCAAGATTTAAGGAAAAAATCATATTGGGGAAAAA